GAATTTGCTAGACCTTGGAGTATTGGCTGAGTCTGACTTCCAGCAAATGTCAGTATAGTTGAAGTCACCCATCCCTACTACATCTCTCCTTTTTGAGTGTGTGGTCATCTGTTCTAGAAAGGCATCATCCAATTCCTCAGTCTGACTTGGAGGTTACTAGTAGACTCCCACTATAACTTCCCTGTTGTTTCCTTCCCCTTTAATTTTTATCCAGATGTTCTCCTGATTTCCAGGATTTAAGATCCTAATTTCCAGGATTTAAGTTCTGGATGTCTTCACAGATGTAAACATCCCTGACATATAATGCTATTCCTCCCCCTTTCCTGTTTGGCCTATTTCTCTTAAAAAGGTTATACCCCTCTATTCCTACATTCCAATCATGAGACTTATCCCACCAGGTTTCATTGATACCTATTATATCGTATTTGCTTTGTTGTGCTATTGTTCAGGGCCTTGTACTATTATAACTTCCTTGGCAGTCATCTAATCCAACCCCTTCCTTAATGAAAGATGTACATCAACACATCCCTTGACAGATAATAATTCAAACTTTGGGCCTTTGCAGACTGCCAGAAATAGTGCACATTAAATTGAGGCACTGCCCTGGCTCAGTGCTAGGGAACCATGGGAACTGTAATTTATTGTGGCACCAGAGCTCTCTGATGGAGAAGGCTCAATGTCCCAGAAAAAAATACAATTCCCATGACTCCCTAGCACTGAGCCAGGGCAGTGCCTCAATTTAATATGCACTATTTCTGGCAGTCTGCAAAGGCCTTTTGCTGAAATACCTCCAGTGAGAGAGAGCCCACCAGTTCCCAAAGCAGTTTGCTTCACTGGGTCAAACTCTTTCCCAACTTTTAGCTGTTGCTATGTGCCTCAAGGCATTTTCACCATTGTTGTTGTTGTTGTTATGTGCCTTCAAGCTGTTTCCAACTTATGGCGACCCTAAGGCAAAGCTATCCTGGGTTTTCTTGGCAAGAGTTGTCAGAGGTTTGCCTTTGCTGTCTCCCAAGGCTGAGAGAGTGCGACTTGCTAGTCACCCAGTGGTGTTTTATGGCTGAGTTGGGAATTGAACCCTGGTCTCCAGAGTTGTAAGCCAACACTCAAACCACTATGCCACCCAAAGGTATCAAGTTTTCCTGGCATGCTTTGTTCACAGGGGGTTTGCCATTGCCTTTCTCTGAGGCTGAGAGGATGTCACTTTCCCAAGCTCACCCAATGGGTTTCCATGGCTGAATGGAGATTCAAACCCTAGTCTCCCACAGTCCTAGTCCAACCCTTAAATCATATAACCACACTGGCTCTCAGCTGAAAACTACTTCCTTAACATTTTTAGCAATAGTTCCAGTCCAGCCCCATGGAAGAACAAACAGGGAGCCTTTCAAACTATGCAATGAGATTCCACTTTAACTGCCATGGCTGCATCCGATGCAACCTTGGGTTTTGTAGTTTGGTGAGGCACCAGATCTCTCTGGCAAGGAATTCTAAACACTCTTCCTTAAACAGCAAACCCAGGACTGCATAGGATATTGTCATGGCAGTTAAGGTTGAACTGTAGCATTACAATTGTGTAAAAAGGCCCCAGATCTGCTCTGTCTTCTGTATGACCTCTGTTTTGCAAATCAGTATGAAAATCAGTATCTTATTGTCCAAGAGAGTGAGTGTGGTGTAGTGGTTTGAGCACTGGACTATAACTCTGGAGACGAGGGTTCAAAACCCTGCTCAGCCATGGAAACCCACTAGGTAACCCTGGGCAAGTCACACTTGCTTAGCTTCAAAGGATGGCAAATCCATGCTAAGAAACATGCCAATAAGAGCTCAGCTAAGCTCCTCAAAAGGTCAGAGAGTCCTGGACTGGCAGGAAATTATGCGTGCAAGGAAGAACCCAATGCATGCAAAGAAGAACCCAAACAGCCAGAGACTGTGGGGTCTCCACCTTTCAAAAATAGTTGCTTTCCAATTGAGAAAGCAAGTTACACAGAGTTAGCTAGAACATCACTGATTCTTCAGGATAAAG